AGGGTTGATCATGATTCATCAAGGATTGCTCACAATTCATTAAAACCCAAAAGTTGCTAAATTAGGGTTTTGTAGGAAAAGTCAACACAACTTTGACCAAGCATAACTTTCTCATACTTTATGAGAAATGACCCATCCAAAGCTCATTTTGAAGAGGATGCAATTACCTACAATCCATATTCATCTCCAAAGTTCAAAATATGCACTCACAAGAAGTTATTAATTTGGACATTATAGGTCATTTTGAAAAGTCAACAAAAACACCTTTTTTGTCAAAGCTTCATACATGAACATGGAAGACTCAATTGATATGAGACCAAAAGGGTTGATTATAGGACATCTCACTATTTCTAAAAAGTCCAAGAACACCTTCAAAGAGTCGAAATTGAAGAAGTTATGCATTGGTGAAGTTGACTTTTTTTGCAAAATTGCCAAAAGTCAAAAGTGCCTCAAATTGCAATTTTTGTTAAATGGGCCTAACTTTTTGCACTTGTTTTGAGTTGTAGCATGGTCCACGAGCCCTAGCTCTTTCCACTTGTATTTATCTTATTTTTGCTATTGATTTTGGTTTTTCATTTCAATTAAATCAATTTAAATCAAAATAAATGATAAAAATATCCAAACCATTGAAGTCTTGAGATTTGGTGCATGTTTCAGGTCCCATATACAGCTAGAAAGTGAATCAAATCGTGCAAGGAATAGGTGGGCACAAAAAGATTGATTTTTGCCTATTTTGGAAAGAATTTCATGGAAATCAAATCAAGATCAATATCATAATTGATAAAGATTGAGAACACTATTGCAACCCTAATTCAATTAGTGGTATATAGTGAACAAAAGCAGACAAAAAAGATAAGGTTTAGAGGCGTGTAGAAAGAGAACCAAACTTGAAAAAACTCAAAGAAAGTGGTGATCTGATTTTTCACTTCCAAGCGTTTTCAAGGTTCCTAAGCCATCCCATTCGTATCCTAGACATACAAGGAAGTTGTACCAATTAAGAACAAGCAGTTTCTAGCGCTAGAACTCACTGTAAGTGATCCACGACCATGGCTTTTTCTTGAAATCGAATCATATGATTTTGGCACTTATAGCATGAATTACCTACATATTCTTATTCCTTGAAGCATTTGCAAGTTGTTCATAACAATTAATTGCATTTTTTCTAACTCTATAGAGATTTTCCATTATTAGGGTTTTGTGTCTCGTTTTAGGATATTTTTATATAGGCAAAATTGGTCCACAAGAAGGGCACCATGATGCTCAGTAGGTCAAGGCAATTTGATCTATACCATTAGATTTTGTTTATCAAGCCTGTGTGCGATTTTAAGATATGCAGGGTTTGTAGTGACAGCCCTATGTCCGTAGGTAAAAGTCTCTGACTTTTACCAATGGAGAGAGGAAGAAGACGACGTGTGTGGCATCATCCCATTCGCCTGTTTGAAATTTGGCGCACGTTTGGTAGCCAGCTTCGCTTTATGTATTTTATTATTTTTGTTTCATATATTAACAAATGGAATCAAGTGGCCCAGTGGCAGCCAAGGGAACGCTAAGGCATTGTATGGCATGAGGTCAGGGGTTCGACCCCTGCCTCCAAACATTTGCCATTTTCTTGAATTTTCTTTACAGATTCCATATCCCACAAAGCGTGAGGTCCACCATATGCCCTCAAGGCTCCATCATTGGATCTCCAGGAAGCCATATCTGAAGGCCACCATGTGATGATCCACCAAAAGCCCAGTCAACGCACAACATGGAATCCAGGAAGTCAAACATGGACCAAGTTTGCTTGGGCCCAGAATTGCTATTTGCACACCTTCAATTTGTTGATCACAAGCCCATTTCCTTTTGCTTTTCTTTTTATATTTTCTTTAATAATTCATTTAATTTATTTTACTAACACAAAATTAATTCTTTTTATTAAAAAAATCATAAAAATAGTTTTTCATCCAATTAGATTTAGGTTATTTTTTATATACAAAATTAATTTAATTAGTTTATTTAATTTTAGGGTAACTTTAATTCTTTTGTAAATAAATTAAAATAAGTTAGAAATTAGGGTTTTGTTTAATTTAAATTCTATTTTCTTTTCTTAAAAAATAACCAAAACATAAAATTAGGTCAAATGTAAATTATTTTCTTAATTTAATTTAATTAGCAATTAAGTTTGTATATATTTAATTCAAACCTTATTTTCTCAAATAATCAAAAACAACCAAAAACTGTTTTTTTCTTGTAATTAGGTTAGACGGGGTCAAAACCCTAACTTTTCTCGTTCTTAATTCCTTGGGCGCGTTTATTTATTTTTTACAATATTGATGTAATTGCTCACAGGATGTAATAGATTAATTAGGACTTTCTCCTTTTATTTATCGTTTTGACGGGTTTTTTTGGCTATGTAATTAATACCTGAAGCCTTGTAATAGCGTAGCTTTACTTTCCGAAAAATATTAATTGTTAGATGTATGATTATAGGGTTGCATGACAAGAATGTATGTTAAATTTTAAAACGGTTAGCAAACCCTAAATGTGCAAAGATAATAACCTGAAATTGAATCACTCGCACATGCGCACTCCTATGGTATACTCTCACTTCGGTTGCCTTTGGTAAATGATCATTAAGTATAGGGTATTTTATTGGTCGCCCTCTTGTCTAAACAAAGATCAAAGTCCCATTCGAAAATGTTGCCTCAGAAAGGTTGCCTCGGAAATGTTGCCTCGAATATTGATCTTAAGACATTAGGGTTATTACTAAGACATCCTAACATTGCTTTAGTGATCGTACGTCCCTTTCTAATTGACCCTTACAACTCCAACGAAGATGTTACCTACTCACTAATAGTGGGATAGCGTTGTCTAAAGGAAACGAGAACAGAAACATTCCTTTTTCGAGTAGGTAGATGCTAGTAGGTACTTGCTCAAAACAAACAAACTTTTTCCACACTTACACTCTTTTCAAACAAAGTTTTCAAAAACACTTCATAACACTCTTGAAGACATAAGCAAGGGTTAAATCAAAGTAAAACAAAAACTCTTTCAAATCAAACACACACAAGCAATTTCAAAATGATGAGCAAGTACCTAAGAGCCCGTGGAAAACCACTGATAGAAAGGGTGCTAATACCTTCCCTTTCTATAATCTACCCCCCGTACTCAGAATATCTCGAAAAAGGAATTTTTCTGTGCTTTTTTCCTTTCCATTTGGATAAAATAAAAGTCGGTGGCGACTCTTTCTTACCACAACATTTTGCGAACACAAACGCAAAACGCAAACCAGCATTTCAAACAGTTCCGGTTCTGCCACCGTATCACACATATCTTTTCTATATTGCTATATCTAGTTTTTGTGTCATTTAAGACCCTACTGTTGCACCCCAAAATTTTCCCTCCTAATTTCTTTTATTTTGGCTTAGACTTTTGCATTCATCTGCATCTATTTCATTAGGTCACTAACATGGCATACATTTCATTCAATATAGCTCTGAGGTTCAAAGTCCGGTGGTTGTGCGATACTAGGGTTTCACAGTGGTTAAGGCGCTCGTATCCAATAAAGGATGATTTCTTATTCAAGCAGCAAGCTGTGGAATTAGGGTTTTGGTTCATTCTCTTTTTTGGATTTCTTCTCCATCAAGCTACAAGGTTATTATCTTCTGTTGAACAATAAGTTGCAGTGTATTCCTGTCAATAACATAAGGTTGTGATCTCGCGTGCATGATTCAAAACACCTCATTCTATCATTGTGCTTGTCATTTGGTCAAGGTTTTGTCAATACTAGAGGTGTATTAAGATCTTCTCTAAAGGATCAAGATCTGTTATCAATCCAGGATGCATATGATGCTTGCATTAAAGGTTGTTGATTGTGTCATTGTTGCATTAAGTTCATCTATCCTTAAGTTAATCAATTAGGATTGGGTACGTCATGATTTAAGATATTTTGTATGGTAAATTTGGTTGCTTGACGGTCAAGGTATTGTGAATAATTGGTACAAGCTATTGTTTGGATATTTGTGCAAGAACTTTGGTTTCAAACATGGATTAAGGTTCAACTTGATAAAAAAGGAAATAGCATGCCCGAAGGTTTATTTCATAAATTCTTGCGGAGGAAGATGGCACATGAATATAAGTTGAGATTAAAGTACATGGTATCAAGTAAATCTCTTCATGATTCAAGTTGTTATTTTCAAGATTATCCCACATCATTGTTCACCCCAAGGTAAAAGATAAAAAGATTTATTTAAATAACATTCGAGTGTTTATCATGTTTGTCTCAAGTTCATTCAAGTATCCATTCAAGCTCAAGCTGAATGAGACAAATGTTTTGAATAATTGGAAATTTGTCATGCAAGAAGTTATAAAGTTTTGTCCATTACAAATTCAAGTCATTACACCGAAGTTACAAAAGACATCTCAGTCATCAAAGTTTCAAATTCCAAGTACAAATCATCATCATTTTTTTACAAATATATGTCATCATTCAAGGTTAAAAGTCAAGGGTTTCCATTCATGCGAGTTTGAGGTGCGAGGTGTTTAGAATTGGAAGTTCAAACATAGAAATTTGAGTTTTGAGATCCAAAGCATGGTGTGCAAGTTTGTTTGAACCAAAGTTCTTATAGGAATATGGCATACAAGGAAAATTTTGATTCAAGTTCTTGTGAAACACATAAGACACTCATCATGGAGTACCATGGATTAAATTTGAGGTCGGATGGGTAGAATTCCTTAATTTGACTAAAAAGTGATCAAGGCCTCCATTTACCAAAAGCTAAGAAACTTAAAGAATGTTTAGAAATGGCATAATTCAAGAGGATCCATCTTGTAAAAAAAAAGCTCATAAATAATAGACATGGAATTTTAAATTGTAGCAAGTTTCAGCATATTCAAGTTCTACCAGTTACATCTCATTCAAGCCTCTGCTTTGACTACATAATTCTCAAAATATACAAAAGGCTACAAATTTACAAAAGAAATCAAATTTCTATTACAAGTCGGAACTATTCCCATCCATGGTCGTTCAAATTATTCAAATTACTCAAGTTCAATCATTCGAGCGTCTTTCATTCACTCATGTTACAGTACATGTCATTTCAAGATTACAAAACAAAGCTACAAAGGCCCTATTGAAACTTAGGGGCATTAATTATAAATGGCATGAGTTTTTCAATAACACCAACAGAGTTGCAGTTGTTTTGCTATGGTTACCTGTTGTGCTGATATACTTCATGGATTTGCAAATATGGTATTCGATTATCTCTACCGTTGTTGGTGGTACGATTGGTTTGTTTTCACATTTGGGTGAAATTCGGAATATCTCACAACTAAGGCTTCGGTTCCAGTTCTTTTCCAATGCAATGCAGTTCAATCTGATGCCAGAGGAGAAGCTACTAAGTCAGCAGGCAACGTTGCTGAGGAAGCTTCGCGATGCCATCCATCAGTTGAAATTACGATACGGACTTGGTAAACCCTTCACAAAAATTGAATCAAGCCAAGTGGATGCCACCAGGTTTGCTTTATTATGGAATGAGATTATCATAACTTTTAGGGAGGAAGATATCCTTAGTGATCGAGAACTAGAACTCTTGGAACTGCCACCAAATTGCTGGAAAATTAGGGTAATTCGATGGCCGTGTTTCCTTCTATGCAATGAGCTACTACTTGCTCTCACTCAGGCAAAAGAGCTGGAAAATGAGTCTGACACATCACTTTGGTTGAAGATATGCAAGAGTGAGTATCGCCGGTGTGCTGTCATTGAAGCTTATGATAGCATTAAATACTTATTTCTTATGATTCTTAAAGTTGATAAGGTAGAGTTTTCCATTGTGACTAATATATTCAGGGAAATAGACTACTACATTCAGGAGGGTAGGTTAACAGAAAAGTTCAAGCTATCGCATCGCGAGCTTGTTGGTGTGACTGATATAGATAGGTGGACTCTTCATCTAGCTAGAAGGCCTGTTAAAGAGTTTGTGCTGGAAATCTGGAAAGGGCAACGTTATAAGATACCTTCGTGTTTATTTTCTTGTCAAGGTTTACATCATCTAGAATTATTTAACCGTTGGATTAAACCCCCATCATCTTCTACTGAGAAAACACAGGATAATTCAAATGCTGCTTCAACACAAGTCCTACTGGCCACTTGGAACTCAACCTGTAAAATCGCATCAAAACAATCCACAATCAGAACCAAAACTAACAAGCCAATGACATAACCTTCAGCTTGCCAACTAACTTTTCATAACAGATTTTCTAACTTCTTACTTTCTCTCTAACAATTAAACTACTAACTGCAAACAGAATTAACATAATTTCTAACTTTCCTAACTGTCACAACTAACTTGTAACCATAACAAACTTCTAACCAAAATTTTCTAACAGAATTCTAACTTAACAGAATTTTCTAACTAACTCTAACAGTTTCTAAGCTCCTAACCATATAACTAACTCCAAAACCGAAAACAGAATTTTATGAAAGCTCCCTCCAGCTCTCTCATCATATATACAGAATCAGGATTCATTATGCAAAGATCCCTTCAAGCAGGGTCATTCCTAAAAAACAGAGAAAAATTCACAAAGAACTCACCAAAAAAATTCTCTCATATATCTGAGCTTTCTATGTAACTTCATTCATCATTCTCTCTGCTTCCTTCTTCAACCTTCCACAATGCTACACATGCTTGGAGAATAACAGGAAGAAGCTCTCAGAAAATTCTTCTCTTTTTTCTTTGCAAATAACTGCATCACACAAAATCTTTTCTTCATCAACTTCGCTACACTTTCTTTCTGGTTTTTTCATCACCTTCATCCTCGCATCATTCCCCTTCACAGTACAACAACAACACTTCAATAATCAACTTCAACAACTTCATCATCTCTTCACTTTAAACCACCTTCATCATCTTCTAACAACTTTCATCCTCTCCACTGAACCTTAACACTCCGAGCCTCTGCAACCTCGCCATCTCCATCTCCATAACTGAATCCACACTTTTGTGATTATCATCTTCATTCTCTGTAATCAAGCAACAACATCGAGTCAGAATCACCCACAATTCCAACAAATTCACAGTTCACGAATCACAAAGAACACGACGCTTCAACAACACAACACAGAACACAACAATCCAACACAACATCGACGCTATGAAAAAGCACAAATCAGAATAAGAAAAAAAGAAGCAGAAGAAGGTAGAGGTGAAAAATTAAAGCTAAAAGTGGTGAATTGTACCTGGGAGGTCTAATTTCTTTCGATTCTTTCGTCTTCCTCTTCAACATGATAACCGCGGCTAGCAAGATAGCCCTTTCCTCGAATTCTCTTAGCTTTCTTTATACCGCAGAGTAGTTTAGGATCCTATGAGCATTTCTCCTCTTCCAATAACAGGATTGCGAGCTTTGTTACCAGTTAATTCCATACTTTGGTTTTCTAGGGTTCGTGATGTAGAGGTTTTGACGAGAGTTTGAGAAAATTAGAGATCAGATATGGAAGGAGAGGAAGGTTACGAGCAAGGTGATGGCGGTTTGGTGCATTTTGGACCTCTTCCGCCGCCGGAGGTGATTTCTGGTGTGGCGGAATACTAATCAGAAATTGCAAGTCAGAAATGAGAGAGGAGGAATAGGATGAAAAGGTTGATTAGCTGTGTGGTAGCTGAATGGCCACGACGGATGGAACCAAATATCATCGTATACGCATTCTCCCTGCTTTCCCTTTTCTTTTAATTATTTATTTTAACTAAATAAAAATCTGAAATAAGTAATGAAGATATTGATAATAGTGGTGGACCTGGGCCAAAATCTCTAGGGGCTGGTGTCCATTGTTTTTTTAATAACCATTGTCATACATAGTCTGCATTGGGTTCCTTCAGATCCGAAATTGTACCATTTGCTACTACATCGTATGTGTCCAGACTTGTACTCCTTGAGTCTTCTAACTTTCTTTGTTATTTCAGTTTTTATTTCTAGTTTAATATTATTCTCTTAATTGATAATATAAATGATATAAAAATAGTAGAATATTTTAGAATTTTTTAGATTTTCTCTTTAAAATTTTATTAGAAGTTTCTATTATTTCTTTTTATATTTGGTAATCATTTTTGTTGTCATTTTTAGCCAAGACTTTGTGATAGAATGTTGATGTAGCTCTTGCAATGTGGAATGCTCGGGGTTAATTCTCCGATCACTCGTTCAAGGAAGCTTTGGTAGAATTTTCTTACCGCTTGCGCAATTTCGAAGAGGCAACGGACCTCCTCCGTTCGGTATCATTGCGACTTTATTTTATTCCTCATTTCACACTTTACTGCTTTTCTAAAAATCATGAGAAATAGGGCTTTATCGCAAACCATATGCATGCTAACATTAGGTAGATGTTTCCCTTTCATTCATCCTTGACTTAGGGCTACTAATGCATGATAACATTAGGTTTAGAAATAGGCTAGTCCCCCTTTGACTTTTCTTTCTCCTTTTGCATATGCATTTAAAACAAAAAGCTTCTTTTTCTTTTCAAAATTCAAAACACTTATAAAATTTACTGACAAGAACCATGTCTTCGTTAAGTATGTGAGATGATAAGCGGGTTTCTTCTCGACCTTATTATTCTCTTGTTCTAAGCTTTGGTATGATTCAAGTCTCAAAGAATCATTTCATGAATAAGTAGAGACATGCATAAAATCTCTCTCTTGAGATTAACTAGCTATTATCTACAAGCAAAAATACCAACCAATACAAACTCTTGTTGCCTTCGGGCCATTCCTTTCAAACATTTTTCAAAAGAACATATTAATCCACTTCTGTGCTGACGCGTAAGTCTCCAAAGGTCGAGTTGCGACAGAAGGCGAGATTACTATCGTTCATTCAAAAACAAACAAGTTCAAACCTTTTTTGTGCGTCCAGGAACATTTCTTTCCAAACTTTTCAAAAGAGCATATTAATCCACTTCTGTGCTGACGCGTAAATCTCCAAAGGTCGAGTTGCGGCAGAAGGCGAAATCAATACTGTTCATAAAAACACAAACCAACGAAAATGTATAAGCCGAACTACGACTGCTTTGATTCCTTAAAAGGGATACGTAGGCATTGGGGTAGGGCCCGAGCGAGCACAATTTTATTTTCCCTACATTCTTTTCTCTTTTCTTTTGCATGCATTCCATTCAGTAGTATAATAAACAGTAAGCGTAGATTAAACACACCCATAAGATAGATAACAAGAGTGGATACCGTAGAGTACTACGGGCGTGTGGGGTGCTAATACCTTCCCCTCGCGTAACAGACTCCCTTACCCGATCTCTCGGTTGCAAGGTCGTGACTTCTCCCTTCTCAGGTTTTCTCGATGTTTACCTTTCCTTACACGTGGGATAAAAGACGTTCGATGGCGACTTCATTGTTTGATGATTTTCAGCCGGTTGTTTCACCTACTTAAGTAGTAAATGGCTCTTTCGACACCATTATCATCTTCTTGGGCCAACATGCTTCCAATCGTTTTGTCTGACGCTGAAATGTACAATCTCATGCACTTGTTTCTTCTTGGAGGCGAAAGAATTGGTGGATGCACCAAGTATTGCTTGATCCTTTCGAGTGCCTCCTGATGTTCTTCGTTCCAGACAAAGGCCTCTTTTTTTAATCGTAAGAGTGGGGAAAAGGCTTGTGTTTAACCACTTAGGTTGAATATAAACCTTCGTAAGAAATTTATCTTTCCTAAGAGTGATTGCAACTCTTTCTTTGTCGATGGCGCCTTTGCCTCCAAAATTGCCTTTCTCTTGTTTTGGTTGATTTCTATACCCTTCTTATGGACCACAAAGCCCAAAAAATCACCTTCCTTCACAAAAAATGCACACTTAAGGGGATTCATTTTTAGGCCATGCTTTCTTATTCTTTCGAATGATTGTCGAAGGTGATCCAAATGGGTTGGCCCTGATATAGATTTCACCACTATGTTATCAATATAAACCTGCATAAAGGTCTCAATGAAATCATGGAATATTGAATTCATGCCCTTTGATAGGTTGCCGCAGCATTTTTTAGGCCAAAGGGCATAACCACCCATTCATAGGTGCCTATTGCACCAGGGCATCGAAACGCTGTCTTTGGCACATCTTCTTCTGCAATAAAAATCTGGTTGTATCCTGAATAACCATCTAACATACTAAGGTATTCATAACCAGCAGCAGAATCTACTAACATTTCAGCCACAGGCATTGGGTATTCATCTTTAGGAGTAGCTGAATTTAAATCACGAAAATCTATGCATACTCTAAGAGAATCATTTTTCTTAATTACAGGAACTATATTAGCTATCCATTCGACATACCTTGTGGTCCTGATGAACTTGCAACGTAGGAGTCTTTCGACTTCCTCTTTTATTTTGGACAGGATTTCTGGTGTGAATCTCCTTGGGCTCTGCTTGATGGGCTTCTTGCCATCCTTTATTGCCAGCTTCAATTTGACCAGTTCCCTGCTTAAACCAGGTATTTCGCCATAGTCCCAGGCAAAACAATATTTATACTCCTTGAGAAATTGGATCACTTTTGCTCTTACTTCTGGGTTCAATTTCACGTTGACGTACGTTGGCCTCCTTTGAGTTCCATCTCCTAGATCCACTTCCTCGAGAGGGTCTTGCGCCAGCATCTTCGTGTTGGATGCCGCTGGATCCTTCTCGAATTCCAAAGGCTCATCGTCATAGATGGCATCAAGAATTTGGTCTTTGTCTTCGACAAGTGTATCTTCATCAAGTGGTTCAGGTTTGAAGAAAATTCCTGGCCCCTTGTTGTGAATTCCTTCAGCCTTGGCTTCAACAACCATAATTTTAACTTCGGCTTCTGAAGTCGTTTTCATCCTATTTTCAGCCAAATAGGCTGAAATCTTCTTGAAGTAAGAAGACTCAGACATGGACATGGTCTTCGTCTTCCCAGCCAGTTGGCCGCATTCCTAGGACTCCAAGCACGTCTTCATCAGGTCCCATGTTTTCCTTGTCCCAATAAAATCCATGTGTTGGGTGAAGGGTAAGGAAATACATTGCATTATTACTTGGTGTTGATGCACCTTCCACTGCAGTGCATGGCCCAATGTTGGCCAAATTCCTGTCGAAATTCCTTCTATCGACATGATTAAACTCAACCATAAAATAGCTTTGGCCTGCTTCTATGTTTTCGACAATCCCATCATCTCTCCATATTGCCACCCTTTGGTGCATTGAGGATGGAACTGCCCCGATTCCATGTATC